AAAAAAAAAAAAAAAAAAAAAATTTCTTATAATGAATGATAATACTTTTTTACCAAAATTATCACAAAATTTACTTGAAATTTTAGAAGATAATGAATTTTATGATGTTACTATCGAAGTTGGTAATGACCCTTACGTAAAAATATTTCGCGCTCATATAGTCGTTTTATATTATCGTTCTCCTTATTTGCGTAGAATTTTGTCAACCAATAAAAAGCAAAATGATGAAATTTTGGTACATATTAAACTGCCAAATATTTCACCTGAAATTTTTCAAATAATCTTAAGGTGAGAGAGCGCAAGTTATATATAATAGGTTAGGAGTTTTTTTTTTTATTATTATTATTTACATATTAATTTTTTTTTAATAGATATATTTATGGGGGAAAGCTTTCTTTAAAAGAATATGATACATCTGATATCATTAAAATCATGGTCGCCGCCATTGAACTTAATCTTCAAGAATTAATCACTCATTTACAATCCTTTTTGATCGAAAACAAAAAAGATTGGATAGAACAAAATTTTAATTTGATATATCAAACAAGTTACGGGAATAATTCTTTCTCGAGATTACAAAATTTTTGTACAGAATTAATGTCTAAAGAACCGGAAAAAATTTTTAATTCAATCGATTTTATTTCACTTTCAGAAAATTGTTTGATTTCTCTTATTCAACATGATAACTTTCAAATGGATGTTATTAAAGTTTGGGAACATATACTCAAATGGGGTATTGCTCGAAATCCTGAACTTACTTCGGATCCTTCAAGTTATTCAAAAGATGATTTTAACATTTTAAAGAATATCTTAGAACAGATTATTCCCTTTATTAAATTTTATAATTTAACTTCTGGAGAATTTTTGGACAAAGTATATCCCTATAAAAAAATTATACCTAAAGAATTACGTGAAAACTTGGTTAAATATTTTTTGAATCCTAATAATCAATCAGTTAAAAAATTCAATAACCCAAAAAGTATTGATTCAAGGATAATTACAATACAACATGCTGAATTAATATCGAAATGGATTGATAGATTAGAAATTACTGACAAGATAAAAAATTCATATGAATTTAAGTTGATTCTTCGTGGATCTCGTGATGGATTCTCACCTAGTAAATTCCATGAAACCTGTGATAATCGATCTCATACTATATTGATCATTAAAGTGAAAGATAGCAACGAAATTCTTGGAGGATATAATCCGATCATGTGGACATCTGATATTACTTGGGGTGCTACCAAAGATAGTTTTATATTTTCTTTTAAAAATAAGAATGATATTGAAAATTATATTTTAAGCCGCGTAAAAGTTGAAAAATGTGCTATAATAAATGGCTATAATTGCGGTCCATCGTTTGCTGCTGGTCTTATTATAGGAATTATGAATGGAGATGATATTCACAATAATAATATTCATAATAGGGGTTATTGTAGGAAAAATATTATTTATGAAAAACCAATTAGGGAAACTGTAGATGACTTCGCTTTAGAAGAATGTGAAATATTTCAAATTACGAAATGTTAGCCATTCATTCAACAATTAAAATGGTAGCATAAATGTTTAAGTTCTTTTTTCGGACCGAATTTAACCAGAATTTCCCAATTATAAATAAAGTTGATCATTCAACGTTGCCAATTTTTTTTCTTGCTTGATGAGACAATATACTTTTACCAAACAGGCGTCTTTTTTAAACAACATACAAAAAAAAAAAGAAAAAAAATAAATAAATAAATAATTTTTAATATTCAAATCAGGTATATCTATGGAGACAGAACTTTCTTTAAAGAATATGATCCTCCGGATATCATTAAAATCTTGGTCGCCGCCAGACGCCGGTGAACTTAGTCTTCAATAATTGATCGCTCATTTACAATCATTTTTAATTAAAAACAAAACAAATCTGGTGGAGCAAAATTTTAACTTGATATATAAAATAAGTCTTAAATGATTCTTTCTTGGAATCGATCGACCGTATGGGAAACTAATGGTAGGTTCGGCGCCACTGAAGACAGTTTTATATTCTCTTTTAAGAATAAAGAGCACACAATATTATATTTTAAGTCGGTAATACTTGAATCATATGCTATATTCAATAATCTCCATACGGTCTTGTAACGAGACAATTATTACAATAAGTTATTGTAGGAAAAATAGTAGTTATGAAAACCAATTAGGAAACTGATGATATATTTTCTGTAGGAGAATAGAAAATATTCAAAATTATTTAATATTGATTTTATATTTTAGAGGTTAAAAAACGTTCATTAATGTTTTTGTTAGAAATTAGAAATTACTAAACACATAATATCATTGAGTTGTTGGTCAGCACTATAATTCTTACCTACATTACTTTTTTTATTGTTGGCTACCTATAAATTATAAAAAATTTATTAATATTACGCAAATTTATTGGAATGAAACAATTAAATATTGTTTCATTGAAATAATTAGCACGATATAAAAAGTTAGAGTGCAAAAAGTGATTGGTTACTCATTCCAATTACTAACGTGACCATTCAAAAAAAGTGTCCAATCGGGATAGTACAAATTGATCAGCGCCAAAATGCGCAAGCGGCTTATTGCTTTTTTTTTTTTAAAAAAAAAAAATGTTGAAACTCGACAGAGGCTTACTTTTCCTAATATTTGAAAAATTAAAATATTATAAATATTTACTAAACATTGTCCAAAATAAGAAGACTAACTGTGATATATGCTTTGAAAATTTTGAGTAATCACCTGCAACCTTACGAGAATTTCATTTGGATTTATGAAGTAATTTCTAGATAGGAAACTCATTTTAGTAAATGTATCACCTCTCCACAACTTTAGATAACTGGTCT